CATAGCTGCCATAGCTGTAGTTAGTAGTGAGTGTGTGTGTGTGCTCGAGTGTTAGAGTGATGCGTGTGGGATATCCAGGGTGATCCCGTGTATGTGAACAGTGAGATGTTTGGGCGCTGAGGTCGCCATAGCCAATTGGGAGTGAAATATCTCTGAGTTTGAGTGGGCGCATGTCGCCAGTATGCTGCGTTACTGTTTACATGTGTGAAAAGTGTGTTTGAAAACGAGTCTGATTGCATTATAGAGCCCCATATAGAGCCCCATATAAATGTTGATAATACAGGCCCAGAGCCCCGTATAGAGCCCCATATAAATGTTGATAATACAGGCCCAGAGCCCCATATAAATCCTGGTAGAATCAGATGAATAGAATAACCAGCGCTACACCGGACCCAGAGATCAGAGGGATCTAGAAAAGTCCGGCGATACTTCTTTCAGGACTGCTTTAGACCTTCGGGATTGTAGCCTGGTTAAAAAAAGAAAAAAAGAAAAAAAAGAAGACCTTGGGGATTGATCTGTCAGGACATAACATGCGACATAGGACAACACAGCACAGGACAAAGGACAGGACATAGTTAAACATAGCACAGGACAAAGGACATGAACAACATAGCACAGGACAGAGGACAACATAGCACAGGACGTAGGACATCATAGCACAGGACATAGCAAAGGACAGAGAATAGTGAAGCGAAGGAGATAGCAAAAGCTAAAGCTATTGTATTTTGGCTTCGATGAGCAATCGCTCAGTTCCAGGAGGCTTGATGTGAGGTTGGGCGTTGTCGCTTGTACGACATCTTGGGGAAGATTCATCAGACTCTACCCATATTTAGTAGAAGATTCATCCTTCTTACCATTTCTAGCTGAAGATTCATTCCTTCTCCCCCTGAACTAGAACTAGTTGAAGATCCATGCCGTTGCCAGACCGAGCAGACAGGTCACCCCCCTCTGCCCCTGTCTGCTTTTATGAAGGGATTGTGCAGCTGATGGGTGTGTTGATGCCCTCGATGCCAGTTGTTCTTCCTCCTTTGCTTAAGAGGCAGTCCCCCTTTGCCGGTTTTTTTATCTTCCATCGCCAGAGGGTGTGTGGGGGGACCGAGGAGAAGGGACAAATTGAAAAGCTGAAGGAGGAGAAAGAAGAGTAGGAGAACGCGGAGAACGATGAGAAGGATGAGAAGGAAGAGGAGGATGAGAAGCAGGAGGAGGAGAAGGAAGAGGAGGAGGAGGAACAGAAGCTGCAGCAGCAGCAGCAGCGGCGGCAGGAACAGAAACCGACTCGTGTCTCTCTTCTTTCGGTGTTCGTGGTCCGTCCTCGAGCGCCCCACCTGTCATTGGCTTCTGCCTTTGGCTCCAGCTTAATACCTTTTCAATGGGGATGATGCTCACTCTGGTTTTGCCTCTTTTGCTTCTGCCCGGAGTGTCATTATCAGCCTCACCTGTGCTAGGCACCAGAACCTGGTCCACCACCTGTCCCATGTTCGTGATGTGAGTCGCCAAAGGAGTTCCAGGAGCAGAACGAGAACCCTGCTGAAGCTCACTCAGTTTCTCGATCTTCAGGATCGGTGTTTTGGTTCGCTTCTGCTGCCTATCCATTTTGTCCGATACACCTCCTTGGCCGTGAACTTGGGAAGGATCCTGGTCCCGACCCTGGTCCCGACCCTGGTCCCGATCCTGGTCCCGACCTTGATCCCGACCCTGGTCCCGCCCCTGGTCCCGACCCTGGTCCCGACCCTGGTGCTGACCCTGGTCCTGCCCCTGGTCCCGCCCGTGGTCCTGCTCCTGGTCCCACCCCTGGTCCCGCCCCTGGTCCCGCCCCTGGTCCTGCCCCTGGTCCCGAACCTGACCCAGACCCTGATCTCGATCCTCAGCCTGGTCCTGACTACCATGCGGCTGCCTCTGGAGCGGACTCTGGTCCTGCACTTGGCCCTGGGTCTTTGTTGTGATCCTGGGTATCACTCCGGTCGCTGGTCGAGGACCGTCCTCCTTCTCGGCACCCTTGGCTCCGAGCTTGATTTTGACGAAGGGTACCGATCCCGACTCCACGGCAGGAATACGGCCCTGATCTTGACCACCATCGGCACGACCCGTGAGCATAGCTCCTGGTCCAGACTTTGTTCTCGGACTATGCTCCCGCTGCTTGTCTTGCATCTGGCCCTGACCTTGTTCCAGGTTCTTACGCTGGACCGCAACCTGTCCCTGGCTCTTACTTTGGACCTCCGACTGTCGTGGGTCGTCACCATGAGTCTCAGTTTGACCATCATCTGCATGGTGCCGTCTCAGGATGCCCCGTTTGGTCTCCTTTTCGGAGATCGGGGGACCCTGTTTAATCTCCTTCGCCAATATTGCGAGGCCCCGCTTAGCCTCCTTTTCGTAGGTCATAAGGCCCCCTTTCATCTCCTTTTCGGGGACGGGGAGGCCCTGTTTAGTGTCCTTTTCGGGGGATTGGTTCTTCCTCGCCGTAACCGCTTTCTCTAGAGGACTTGATGTCGTTGTCTGCTCTGATAGGTCTGCAGCAGCATTTCCAAACAATGGATTCACTGGAAGATGTGACCTGAAACCAACCCCAGGCCCAGCCCCGGCCCCAATCCCCTCTTTCCTCGGAATGGGAGGGATAGCCGATATTCGCCTTGCGGCCATCTTTTTCAGCGTCGACGATTCCTCGATCGGGGTCAGCGTACTTGTGGAGTCTATGTCTTCACGCTTTTGCCGGTTTGGTTCAAAACGTTGGAACAATGATCCCATCCTACTACCGACCGGACTGACGGTTCGAGATCTGCCATCCCGCCCTCCTCCTCCTGGCTCCGTCGTCTCTGCTGCAGCCGCATTGACTCTGAATAAGCCGGCCATTGCTTGGCCAAACACGCTTCCACCCTTAGAGAACAGTGATGAGCGGATGTTGTCTATCGCCGCCGTCCATGTCACCCTTTTTTTGCCAAGTTCCCCGTCCGCCACCCCTTCTTCTTCTTGCTGCTGCTGCTGCTGCTGCTGCTGCTTTTCTTCTATTTGCGCCTCCTTCGAACGTTGTCGATATGAAATGCTTGCACCGATAGCCGCAATGATCGTGATACCTACGACGATGAGCAGAATGACGTAAGATGGGTCCAGTATGGCTCCGTGCCTTTCCTCTGCTCTTGGCTCCATGTCTCTCGGCGCACTGGTCGTGTTCGGCCTTTGCAGGGAGGCCCCGGACTGCTCTCCGTTATCTGCATTAGGATCAGGGTTGCCGGAAGACAAAGCACCTGCCGGGAAAAAAAAAACAAAACACACACACAAAAAAAAAAAAATTAAAAAAATAATAATAATTAAAAAAAACATAAAAAAATGGAAAGAAGGAAAAAAATAGAGTTGTCAACTTTTCACGCACATGACATCACCCAAAAGAGAATCACTGTATTAGGGCCTCCTCTCGTCACTGAACAACATCCTAAATGCATCTGGACCTAGAAATGACTGCAATACGTTCAAAATGTTCAATCGATTGTTTTGTATCTGGTCCGTAGAACGATTCAGATACGTGCATATTGAGTAGTGGAGCAAGGCCCTTAAGAGGCTAGGAAAAAGAAGAGAGAATCCACAGAAGTTGAGAACTGCAGAACTTACGTTTTTCTGCCTTTTTTTTTTTTTTTTTTTAATCTCTTTTTATTTTCCTGCAATAAGGACTACACGTGCTTCACCTACACTGTACAACCAAAGCAAAACTTTTTTTTTTTTTTTTNTTAGCTTCAGGGCGAATTGATCGGAGGTGGGTAGAAATGAGCGAGGGGTGAGGAACACTCTGTGAAGTCATCATCATGGTGGGCAGCCAGCATCCCTGTCTCTTATACACATCTAGATGTGTATAAGAGACAGCTCAGCGGGCAAGCCATCACCGGCCACGCACATCGAGGGCACCACTAGATTTCACCTCACAGCCAACTCCACAGCCCCTACTACTGAAAAATCAACGAAAATTATCATCAAAGTCCAAGTTCATCACGGAGGTCCTGGAACTCTAATCACAACAGTCGTGACAACCCTAATTTTCTAGTGACGCAAACTCCACCGACCATGAAGAAACCATGCGCAAAAACAAACTACTGAAGAAACGGAATCAAAACCACAGAGAAAAGAAACCATGCGCAAAAAGAATCAAAACCACAGAAAGGGAACCAGCGGTCAGCACTACTTGCCATCTCAAGTGTTTTTTTTTTTGTTTATATCTATATATATCTATGACGATATATATGCATGTCAGTTCTTTGAAGTTGTAAGGTTTTTTTTTTTTTTTTTTTTTTTTTTTTTTTTTTTTTTTTTTTTTTAAACAATGCTGGGAATCAGGCCTAGGGTAACCCTACATCTTTTGTGGGGGAACCCGAATGAGAGCATACTCACACCAGCACAAATATCTGACCGTGATTATGGCCTTACTTGGACGAATCTCAGGGCATACTCGCACTGGGTGCGACCCCAAATCTGCAAAATATGTGGATTTGGGAAGGGCCGATTTGAGGTTTTGGGCATGGTTCACGGAACACTGCTGTACCTTTCCAGATGTCTGTAGAAATGGGGATTTGGTACTTGGCTGGTCACACGGCGCCATCCACAAATTGTGCAAGAACTTCTGTGAACGAAATTTTGCCAAGTTTTGAAGAAAATGCAAAAAAAAAGTGGGCATTTGCCGTCATCTCCAGAGGTGACCGCAAAATAAATCCCTTGCCCCACGGTTTCCCAGGCCGCTGACAAATGGGCGCAGGAATAGTACGTTTGCAACTTTGGTAGTTCCTTGTGATCGGCCTTTTCCCCTTTTTTTTGTGATTTTGGGAATATAAATCCCAGTGTGAGTATGCCCTCACCCCACCTCCGTCCTCAAATACGTAAAAAAGACTCCTAGTGTGATGAGGGAAGCTTGAATTTGGTATGCCCTGAGATGAGCGAGGCACACTGGCCAAGCTGAATAAATAGGTATATACTCAAAACTTCTGTGAAAGCATCTGATTCACATGAAAGGGGGAAAAAGACCTAGTCTGGCCAGGGATAGCGACGGCAAGCGGCGGGGGATCGCTAACGCACGCAGTGCAATGCAGGCACTGCATGCATGCCAGAACTCGCCGGCGGAATGGCACGGACGCAAGGGGTGTAGCACGCGTGTGCGCGTGGGATGGGTTGCTGTCCACAGGGGTATTACCACGCCCCTGGCTATGGCTGGCCTTGGTCGGCGGGAGCCAGCAATCCTTGTGAGGTCACGAAGGGAAAGAGTTGCATGTGTGGCTGACCGCGAGGCAGGGTTTGCTAGCCGCCAACATACCATAAACGAAGCTTGATCAGGGGCTTTGGCGCCCTGGTCGCAGATACGTAGTATGGCTGGAGTCAGCGGGATGCTGTTTTCCTCGGAAAAAATGATTCTCGTGGAGAGTCTGTGATGGAGCTGAAGCCGCTGTTTGTTGGGAGACCCATAATATATGGACTGCTGCGACTCTGGTCTTAGTCCCCCCTCGCTGTTGTGAAAGTGTGGGCGACTTCGGCACGATAGGGTTGCTTCCAGTGAGGCTTTCAGCACTTCTGTCTTCAATCAACGATTCTCTCTCCAGAGAATGCATCTGCTCGCAAGCTTCTTCCTTGTCATGATAGAGGAAAACCTTAGTGATTGTCTTTTGTTTTCCATTTTCCATTACCGGAGTCTTATGGTCTCGGTGTTTTGCCGGATCGTGGAATTGTTATTCCTAGTTGTGGTGCGGGATTCGTTAGTTCTGCCCTTGGTAGTTTCTTCGGATTTCTCTATTTTTATCTGTAGGTCGCCGCTTCAGGCGTAGTTGCTAGCTGTTTGTTTTCTTGGTTTTCCAGTTCTTTTTCTTTCTCTGTTTAATTCCACTGCATTCCACTGAATTACAGCTGTTCTACTTGATAACTATTGTTGGGCTTAGGGTTTTGGTTGACCCTGTGTTGTAACGTGGTGCGATGAACGTGGGAGGGTGAGATGAACGTGGGAGTGTCGCTTTGCGAAGACCCTGTGATGGTGGGTGGCAGGGGGGTTAGTGGGAGTGTCGCTTTGCGAAGACCGTGTGATGGTGGGTGGCAGGGGTCTTAGGGGGTTGATGCGGACTGGGGGAGCAGTTTGCCCTAAATCGGGAGGAGGTGGGTGGGTTTGCAGGGTCCTTGGACCCTTGGCGCGCGGGTGGTAGGGCACTTCTGCAGGTTCGTTAATGTTTAGGGTTGAGTTCATTTCCTTAGGAGTACTTGGGGGGACTGGAGAGCGTTGCTCCGTACGATTTTTATCATGGAGGGAGGTGAAGATCTCATTGGGGGGTGCAGTGGATGGGGGGGACGGGGGTGCGGATTACCCTAAATCGCGAGGAGGTGGGTGGGGGCTTTGCGGGCGCTTTGGCCACTGCCGCGCGGGTGGTAGGGTATTTCTCAGGGTTTGCTAAAAGACCATCGTGGAGGGAGTTGGTGTTTTAGGGTAGGCAACGTAACGTAGGGGGTGGAGTGATCTGCTTTCAATCGCGAGGAGGTGGGTGGGTTTGCGGGGTCTGTGGTTAGACATCCCTGCCTCGAGGGTGGCAGAGTGGATCTGTAGGGTTGGGTTATATATTCAAGGGTGACAGGCTTTGCTTTTGTAGGTTCTGTTTTTTTTTTTTTTTTTTTTTTTTTTTTTTTTTTTAGGGCATCCACATAGTGCACAATTAGGATTTTGTCGTTTCATACGGTGAAAGGAGTCAGCTTACCCCGTGACCTTTTCTATGATGTGAGGGATGCCGGACTCGTTTTCCGGCTTGTATAATTCAAAAGCAGCCTCAGGCTGGAGTGCCTGGATCATACGACATCTGGCTGTTCCTTGGTTGGAAAAAAAAAAGAAAAAAAAAGGGAAAAAAAAAGAAAGGAACAAGAGCATCAGAGAGAAACATGGGAGTGTGGACCACCAAAACGCATTTGCAAAATCCCATTTTCTTCCTGGGGCGAGGTCCCACTAGCAAAGAGGGTTGGATAAATATCATGAATCTGGACGTGTTTTAAGCAGAGATGCGGAAAAGCAGTTCAATGTCGACATTCTTCACCTTTCCACAAACAAGTCCAGATTCAGGTGTTCAGTCCAATCCTCTTTGCTAGTGGGACCTTGCCCCTGGAAACAGTTCCCAAAAGAGGAAAAGAGTCAAAAGACTGAAAAGTGCAATAACAGTTTCCTGCTCGTCGTTGCCCCTGTGGAGGAAATAGGAAGATTTTTTAAATATATTTTTAAATAAAATTTTAAATAAAGTTTTTATTATTTTTTAGGGAAAAAAAATCAAGAGCTTCTTTTTTTTTTTTTTTTTTCCCTTTTTTTTCCTTCGTCATCCGGTGACAGCTATGTATATTATGTTCTCTCACCTCACATATATTTTTTAACTGGCGTTCTGCCATGTCATCATGGAACATAACTTTTTTCCATCTTTCACTACCTACCTACCACCACTCCAAAGGGTATAAAGGGGCCCATAACTTTTTTCCATCTTTCACTACCTACCTACCACCACTCCAAAGGGTAATAAAGGGGACCCCTGCAAGCATAGCTGTCTACCTCTCTTCGGTGAAGGGAACATGAAATGTGTGTGCTTCTTTTTTTTTTTTGAAAGGAAGGAGTAGTTTGTGGTCGTTCTTTCAGTCTTTAAACCACTAGCACCTTTCCCCGCTTGAAATCGGAGACGCTGGGTAAGGGGGTAGCCAAGCGGGGGGGAGGGCTGTCGTTGATAAATCATCGGCTGCCCGTTTTTTTGTTTTGGGCCACCGACACTGCCCTCGGCCGTCATATGGGAAAGGGTACGGGTGGTTTAAACCACGAGTACGTTTCCCGACCATTGCGCAGAAGCGTGCAAAAAAAAATTATAAATTTTTGTTTCCTTGGAGTTGCAAATCAATTACAGGGCAATCGGTCAGTCCGCTAGGAGGGAGTGCTCTTTTTTTTTTTTTTTTTTTTTTTTTTTTGAAGTCCAGAGTGTTGTAGAGGTCGGTATCTGGACCCATGGCAGCTACCTATCTGCAATCAGCAACTAATTTATAGGACGCAGACCATCCTATCGTGGAAGATCCCCTCATACAGCCTCCCCGTCCTGCAGGTTCCCCAACGATTTCCTCCACCAGAGTTTGTCTACTAAGACCCCTCCTTGCGGGATCCCCTACTGTAGTTTCCCCACCGATAGACTCCAGCAGAGCTTGTTTTAAGCCAACCGTTCACCAAAACGGGACCCCATCCCACCTCAGGTCCTGGCCCCCCCCCCAAGCAGAGCCT